CAGCTATGCTGTATCAAAATCATCGTCGAGAATATGAACGACGTGTACGAGAATGTATCGATCAACAACTATTAGAAGGCGATGAGAATGATGAAGATCATAATGGAAAATTAGCAACGGATAAAAAGAATAATGTTGAAACAACATCATCAACTTCATCTCCTCCTGGTTCAAGTGACTAGTCATGTTTGTCTTTTTCTTTTAATATTAAAAATCAGTAACAGTGTATATATACACATATATATATATAGATATATATACAAGTCGTTTGTAGATTCTAACCATTTATTTCATTTGTTTATAATATTGCTGCGTAGTTTAAATCCTTTTGTTTATTTTTCTCATTTAGCGAATATTTTTGTTTCTTTTCTTTTCTTTTTGTTTTGTTTTGTTTTATTTTTACATACAAAAAAAACTAAATAAAAAGAATTAAATGAATTAAAAACATGTTTTCTTTTTTTCTTTATGTTTCTATTCGGAGATTTTTAGTAGAATAAAATGAGAAAAGATTGTGTGTGAGAATATTTTGTATACGTTCGAGTAAATTATTATTAATTGTAAGATGAATTTGATTGTGTTCATCAAATCGTTCAATTTTAATTAAATTTCTATCTATAGTTCGTCCAAGTGTTAAATTATAATAATCAAGTCGTTCATAAAATAGAGGATGTAAACATATTAATAAACGTTCATAAAATCCATTTGGTAAAATATTTGAATCACCATTTAAAATTTTTATTGTTTGAATAGAATCTTGATTTATTATTTGTGAATCAAATATTTGAATTTGATCAACTGATGGTAATTCTGAAATTATAATTGAAATGTTTTGATAAACTTCTTTTTGAGTTAAATTCATTGTATTTATTTGTAATGAACTTTCATTTTCAATATTTTCTTTGTTATCTATTGAAAACCATAATTGTTGTTGTTTTATACGTCTTGATTGTTCACATTGAAGATGTTCATATTGACGTTTTTGTTCAAGTGATTTAAAATAATTTATATAATCAATATCTAAACATTTTTCGTTCATTAACCATGGGCAAACAAAATAACTTGTTGTAAATTCACGATCAAAAAAAAAAAACAACAACAAAGAAAAATATTATGAATAAAAATTTAATAATTTATTCTTACAATTTAGATTTGATTGATTTAAATAACCAAGATATAATCGTTCCATTAAATAACAATAATCAAATATTTTTTGTTCAGTTAAACTAATATTATTATTATTTTGTTCATAAAATAAAACATTAAGCATATTCCATGTAAATTCGCCACGTGTTAATAAACGTTGTCGATCAATATCAAATAATTTTTCTGATGGATAATAACCAGAAAAACGAAATACCATATTATCATCATAATTTAACCATTGATCAATATTAGGACGAAATAGAGTATTAGATAATATTTTATTTAATAAATGATAAGGTTTTATAAGAATTCTCATATGAGATTTTTGACCGAAACAAAACATATCTCCAATTAATTTTAAATAATCAAGACATTCATCGAACGACATTGAATTTAGTTCTTCTTCAATAAGTTGTTTATTTTCTTCGATTTCATCGTCATTGTCTGATAAAATTAATGGAACTTGTTTTTGTTGTTCGAACCTTTTTAAACAAGTATCATAATTGATTATTAAAGCATCATGTTTAAGAAAAGCAAAACGTTGTTTAATAAGTTGTCGTTTTTGTTTGTGATGTACAATATTCCATTGTTGAGCAATCGTTTCTAATTGTTCAATTATTAATGATGATATTTGATCATCATTTATATGAATTGGTTCTAGAAAATACTCCAAATAAAACTTGATATTTTCTCGTTGATCTCCTTCATCAATTAAAAATGCATTCACTTTTGAACGAATTTCATCAAGAAGTTGTTGTTGTTGTCGATCATTTGATGTTAACTGAGAATCATCAATTAAACCAAGAATTGTAATAGATACTTGTTGACAATGATCAGATATTGATTCGAGATAACGAAATATATGATAATATAACCAATCGTTTGTCAATAATGCATCAAAATTAATTATTGTTGATGAATTTTCATCTCTTAAAATAAAATATAAATCTTATTGACTTGATTTATTTATAAATCTATACTTACTCATTGATATTTCCTAAATTAGTAGTTACTTGAAAATTATTTAATAGAATAGTTAAATTAACGGGTAATATATATAAAGCATTTGAATCATAAATTAATGGATAAAGTATTTCAAAACATGGTTCATTTTCTAAATCAAATATTGTACAATAAAAATTATTTTTTGTAATAAGTGTTGATTTATTTATAATAGAATTCGTTGTTTCAATTGATCGATAAGTTTTAAGTGGTGGTGGATTTATTCGTTTTAGTTTTAAATGTCGACTATAAAGATAATCACCACTAGTTGATATACGATTTTCAATCCATTGATCAACTAATGCAGATGATGTAGGATCATTTGATGTTTGTTGTTGTTGTTGTTGTTGAGAATTATCTTGTTCATCATTGTTTAATTGTTTTTGTTGAAGAATAGAAACATACATATCAATAGTTTTTCGTGTATTTGAAACTTTTTTTCGATTATTAACAAGTTTTCTTGCTAATGTTGTTTTACCAATATTTTTTGGTCCAATTAGAATTAATTTTAGATGATAAAAACTATTTGTAAGATTTTTTTCTTTTACTTCAATATAATTAAATAATGTCTGTATATTTGTTGATTTCCATATATAACTCGGTGGATTAGTAATTAAATTACCTAAAAGATGAAGCCCAAAACGTTGAAATGTACCAACAAATGTATTCATGGATTTAAGTCCAATCATATGACGAATATTAGATGGAAGATATTCAAGTTTATTGTATCGTAAATCAAGTGTTTCTAATTGTGCAAGTTCACATAATTCATCAGGTAAATATTTTAAATTATTATAAGATAAATCAAGTGTTAATAATGATTGAGTTTTTGAAAATTCATTTTCAATTGTATCGAGTTTATTATGACTAATAATTAGTTCTTTTAATATTGGTAAATAAGCAAAAATCTTAGAAAGTAAAGTTAATTTATTATATGAAAAGTTTACTATTTCTAATTGTTTCATTTTAATAAAATACTCTGGTATTGTTGGAATACGATTATGTGACATATCTAGGATTTTTAATTTTTCTATTGTACATATTGCTTCTGGTATATCAAAAAATGAATTATTTGATAGATATAATTCAGTAAGATTTAATAACATATGTTCATTTGATATGGAATTTATTTTTGTATTATTCAAATCTAATATACGTAAATTTTCTAGTTCAAATATAACTTGTGGTATATGTTCAGAACGAATTTTTCCTTCTTCAATTAATTGTAACATATAAACATCAAGCAATTTATAAAATGTTTTATAATTTATTTTAAATTCATATAATTGACGACATTCAACTAAGGTTTCAGGTAAATTATCAATTGGATTTTCTGTTAAATCAATTGTTTCAAGTTTATCACAAAAACCAATTTCAGGTGGAAGTGTATCAAGATCCATATGAGATAAACGAAGATGTCGAATATCGCTTAAATTACCTGTTAATTAAAAAAAAACGAATTAAAATATTTAGTAAAAAGAACATAGTAGATTTTATTTTGTTTTGTTTTGTAGATTGATGGAAAAGTTTTGATATAGATATTCGTATTCTTGAGAGTTTGTGAAATTTCAAAAAATTTTTAACAAAGAAAGTCTCGAAATATTTATATTCTCGTTATTTGTACTGTTAAATTGAGAAAAGAATTACTCAAAGTTATTCCTTGTCGTATTTTCCTTCAAAAAAAAAACATTAATTATTTTTCGAAAAAAAAAATGGAATGTATTGTTTAATTTACCAATATCGCCAACAATATAACCAACTTTATTTCGGCTTAAATCAAGTGTTTGAAGACTAACTACATTCCAAACAGCAACTGGAATATATTTCAATGCACATTCAGATAAAATTAATGTTTTAAGACTTTTTAAATTATTAAATTCACGTGGAAAACATGAATAATCATCAAAACCATTGTTAACAACTAATGGATTATGTGATAGATCAAGATATTCAAGATTAATTAATGAATTTATTGCTGGTGGTAAACCTGATAGATTATTATTTGATAAAATTAATCGACGAAGAGTAATAACTAGGAAAAAAATCATATAGAAATCATATTCAATTAATTAAAACTATTAATAAACGTACATTCAAAGATTTCTGCTGGTACCATAGAAAGACCTTGTGCAGTTAGGTCTTGTTTTTCAGAATCATTTGGTTCTGATAATTGTCTTCTTTCAATATCAATCACACTTAGTGGTCTCCTTTTTCTCCTTGAAACTGATCTACGATTTGTTGTTGGTGATGCTGATGGTTTTAAACTAGATCTTGGTTTTCTCGATGCATTCGATATTGGAGATAATGCAGCACTTGATCGATTACTTGTTGAACTTTCTGAACGTTTTGTTGGATTCGTTTCGCGAGTACTTCGTCTTGATGTTTGTGAAGATGTTTTTTCTCGTTGATCATCTTCTTCATATAAAGGCGTATTTGGCGTTGTTCGATATGATCGGTAAGATGATTGACTTTTAGTTCGTTGTCGTTCACTTGGAGACAAACTTGTTCGACGATCGCTGCTAGCCATTATTGTGTATGTTTGAATGAAGAAATCAAGAAATAAAAAATGTTGTCGAAGTAGTTATTCTCTGTTCTTTCACTTATTTGCTCGGCAACACATTATTTGAAAGAATCAATTTCTTTCCAGTTATTTTTTAACTGTTCAAGCTCATTTTTTTTCTTTTTCTTTTCTCTATACATCAAAACAATGAATAATTGTGAATGACAAAACGTAATTATTATAAATAAAAACTATATAGAACTTATGAAGATAATTAAAATTTCATAGAAATGATTCATCATTTTGTATTCATCAATTATAAATTTTATGGAATGTTATAGATATTTGTTGAACTATGAACATCAACTTGACCGAACCTTTTCGCTGGTTACCCGACAGCACTAACGAAGAAAATGAAATTCGAGGAATATTCTTCCATCATTGGGAGAAACTGAGAGATCGCTTTCTAGAAACCGTTAACGAGATCAATAAATGGCGTCAGAAAACCATTGATGATGTGAATAAGTATGCAGATGAGCAAATCCGTATTCTAGCAGAGGATTGTCAACGTCAACGACTCACTCTTGATGAAAAACGTGAAGAAAATATTGACACAACACGTGCTTGTTATGCTGCACGAAACATCGAATTATTTCAAGAACTACGCAATGAATGTCAATTATTAGAGTTTCAAGTAGCACAGCTTGAGTTTGTTACTGGTGAAATGCAAGGTCTTAAAGTTATAACTGTGTTCGAACAAATGGAAAGAAAGAAAAAGGAAAAAATTAATACACCTAAGCCTGAAACTGACAAACTTGGAGAAAAGCCGATAATTGAACACGTCAATCATATAAAAGACAATCACGGTGAAAATAGAGATTTATATATTGAATCTGCATCATCAATTTCAAATCAGACAGTGTAAGTTTTGTATGCAAATTATTTAGTTTTTTTCTTACAATCTTTATACTTCTTTATGAAGTCCGCATTTATTGCCGGTTGAATCTTCAAATGATGATAGTCGATCAATCAATAATAGCAACAATTCAAAAGGACGCAATTTGAATGATAAGGATGAAATCAATAAATGTCCTATATGCCTTATGATATTTCCATTGAAAATGACACATGATGATCGTTCTCAACATGTCAATGAACACTAAAGATGATTAAGGGCGTAGATGAACAAAATTTTAATTTCAACATTGGTATTTAAAACACATCGTTTTTATTGCAGATAATAAAGACTATACATGATGTTTTTTTGAAAACTTGAATATTTCAAAATGAAATAATCCTGAATAAAAATTTTCTATACGAACAAAAGAATTTCATTTATCTCATTCAAACTATTGATCGATTCTGGATTAAAGTTATTAGCGGTGTTTCAAATATCAACATGATATATTATCTAAATATACTTGTTGTTTTAAATTATTCAGATATTCTTTCGTTTAAGAAATTTATCTTTTCTGTGTTACATACAGAAAAAATTCGCTTTTCAATTAGAGCAACCAAACAGTGAATTAGAAATAGACTTTTTAAATATCTATTTAGAGGCTATATTCAATGTGAATGATACAAGCAGATATGGGTTTTTACAACAAAAAAAAGAATTAAAAATCTTCCATTTTCAGCACTTGTTTATGAAGTTGCCGCTATTCGTTACAGCATGAACCTTCTCTTAAAACCACCTAGTCGTGAACTATGCGACACTAATAAGAAAGAAAATATGATTCGAGAGAACTTCGACAAATATTGAGAGAAAATTTTTAAAATCTTGAATGATAATGATAAGTAATGAAATTGACGTATAGTGTCATAAATACATTGTGGAAATCAATAAGTATGCAGATCAACAAATTTAGATTCTCAAAGATGATTAGGTTTATCAACAACATGTTTTTAATAAAGGTTGTCATGCTTCTATTGTGACATAGAAAAAATATATTTTTCATGTCATAAATTAATTCGATCAATGGGATCAACTACGTGATACATGCTGTATACTAGAGTTTCAAGTGATCAAACTCGAATTTGTCAAGAAAGCTATAGAATATATTAAAGTGATAACTGTAAAAAAAAATCTAACAAAGAGGAAGTAAGAAAGTTCAATAGTAAAATAAAGTATCAATGCAGACAATAATAGATATGAGAATATGCGTTTGTCTCCAAACTCAGTCTCTACAAGCTCAGATAGAACAACTCATGTTTGTACCACAAAAAGTCTCATTATTGCATGCCATTCTATCTCTTATAGTCCACAGTTATCGATGTCTAAAACTTCTAACAATAACAGTATATGGACCGACAGTAGATTCTTGCGAAGCACCTGAAATTCGATTTTAACTCCGATAGAACCGGAGTTACATCGGTCAAAAGATTGTTCTTCTTCTTCTTCTTTTCACTTGACAATAACTTTATTCTTCATATATGAACAAACAAACACTCGATACATGACAGCAATTTTTTTAATAAGCCTGAAGCAGATCAGTGTTACTCTTAATTGTTGGTCAATCTCTTTCGGTTACACTGCTACCGTATTGAATGTAGAGTTATTCAGCAACAACAGATCTATCGAGGAAAAAATAAGTTCGATTAGATAAAGAATTCGTAAAATGAGACTTATCCTTTCAAAAATGAATGTTCAACGTCTTAGGAAACGTTTCACATCGAACAAAAAAACATCATTCTTCAAAATCGTTCAAGGACGATATGGATAATTTTTTTTAGGTATTATTTTTGTTGCATTCACTGGTGAAAATGAAATTTTTTCGTTCGATCGTTCAATATAAATGCACGTTTACGAATCAAATTATTTCAGACTGATCAATACTCAACGAAACGAACAGTTTTTTTTTGGTTCCTATTAGAAATGTTGGTTCGATCTCTGTCACTGCACTAAAAATTTTTAAACTATTTGTTCATGTCAAATCAAGACGAAAATTAAGTTAGCCATTTAAATCAACGCAATGACAGAATAAAAAAATATTTGATATTCGTGACCGAACAATCTAAACATCAATTTTGAATATTTTAAACACATCAAGTATAGTGTATTTCAAAATTTCATCATCGAAATTCATTTTATCGCACAAAACTATTTATTTAATGAAATCTCTTTTTTCATATCATAGATATTACGAACCACTTTTCATTTGCAAAGGATAAATTCACAAATACTTCTCAAAGAAATCATGTTTGATGGGAATATTTTTCATCAATTGATCAGCGAATTCAAAAACAAAGATATCTGTTGAGATTATTTTCCACACATGTTGTTCGATTTAACTTCTAATATCGACATCAAAATGATGCGAATGACTAGTCAATGATATTCGTTCTCTTTCATTTTCCATCGAGCATCATTTTTGCATTTGTTCACGTTTCATCTAAACGTTCTGCTTGCTGAAAACGAATGATCAATACTAATTCAATTCTTCTCAAGATCATCTCTATCCACTAACCTTTTTACTTTATTTAACGTGATTGATGCTATTATTTGACTTCCTCAGGTTGATCACTCCATAGATGTGTTCCATCGGAATTTCTCCTTATTTTCTTTCTTTCATTCTTTCCTTATATGTTTCATTTGTTCCGCGTTTCTTCTTCACTCACTAAACTCATGCTCGGTACAAATGATTCGCATCCAATAATCGACGTATGGATATTACAATATGAGTGCGGTCGGAAAATTCTACTTATATTTTATTCTTCGATAAAGTACATCGGTTATGTTTCTCAATAGAATTATTTTATTCACTTAGTAGAATATGGCATCGATAAGATCCTTAGGAATCGATACTGAAGCAGTTAAATTCTGTTAAGGTACTTTCGTTTTATTATGTTTCCAGAATGCGGAAAAATTGAATAATTTTTGTTCAGGTCCTTTTGCGTCTGTATAGAATAATACGAAATCTTAACCAGTAACTGTATTAAATATCAAAATATAACATTTAATTTAAATAGCACATAAAATTTTGGAAAGCTATTCTTAACTGTTGCAGTATATTTTTGCTAGATTTGTACATTAGAAGAAATTAAAATAGAAGAAGCAAAGAAAAGTTATCGAATGATGATTCCAAAAAGATTGAGAAAAGTATTTTCAGTAAAAAGAAAACAATAGAGAATAAGATTTTGTTTACTTATGTTAAAATAAATTCGATTATAATAACGATGAGAAAATATATGAGATACTATTTTTTAATATTGAAATAATTTCTTCTGATCTAAATATTTTATTGTCTTCTTGACATTGATGTTTATTGTAAATAAAAGACGATCGATCGACTATCGTCACTATCAAAACAGATAATGTTACCTTATAGATGCGTGCTGATAATGATGACATGGATGCTCGACTTATGCTTTTGATATCATCAGTAATACTAAACGTTAATTTCAAATGAAAAGATATAGCGAACGTTGCGTTGTACTGGCTGACTACTAGATGTGTAACGGAAAAAATCGGAATATTTCAACACATTCAAGCATAGAATACTTTAAATTGATATAAATTCTAGTTTTTACTGTTTGCACGTTTAGCAACAAAGATAAAAACTATACAAGTTGTGATTTTTTTCTTATGATCAAAGAAATTTTCCACTAATTTTAGGTTTGAGGAACATTGATCAATGATTTTTATACTTGTTCACGAGCTTTAAGGATGAGACATAATCCTTGGTTTGAAATCACAGAATGATTATCATTCTAGGATACAGAAATACTTTTAATTTTATTCACAAACCTAGTTCGAAAAAATATTTAATGGAAAAAGCTTTAGAAAAAAAAGCTGACACACAAGTCGAGTTTCAATATTTAGTCTCGGTTATATTTGAACTCAGCACTGCCAAACTTTCAAGTATATAATCTATCGGAGAATATTAAAATATAATGATACCGATCTGTTGATCATTGATATTAGAATAAGCCATGTTGAATTCAATATTTTGAGCTGAAATTTTCAGTGAACAATACTTATCCTCTAAAATTTGTATCAAGGTCAATCACTTGAAAAAAAAACGATTTTTCATAGCGAGGATTTTAACTATTCGATAACTTTGAGCTATCTTTTTTTTTTAATTGATCCTCAATTGTTTATCATGAAATCATTTCGATTCTTTAATTAATTTATTCTAATACTTTTAAGAACTACGTATTACACTTGTTTTCTTTAAAAAAAAATGAAAACACAATTTCAGTCGAGTATTTTTCAGCTATTGACGTTTCCAAAGAATTACCTTGATGATGCAGATGAAGATGTGTGAGAACATTTATTTATTCAATCCACTACACAAGTAATACAAGTATTAACTCAATATCCAACGGCCGGTAGTTCACGCAAATCATATCCGGTCAAATTCATTATTTTGCATTCTTTTCTTAAATGAATAGGCTATATCATTTAAAGAAACGAAGAATGAAAAGTAACAAAGATATTTTCAGAAAAAAAAGAATCTACTGTGTTTCATAACCAATCGCCGGGTAAAAGTAACTATTCATTATTGTTAACTGACTGATCTATGTGATCGATCAATAACCGTATTGTAGTCGAATGAGTATTGTTGTCCTATTTTTCTCAATAATGAAACAGTACATAATAAAAGCATAATCAGATGACGGAAATGACAAAAGAAGCTTTCTTTATCTACAGACATGATGAAACAAAACATAACATTCATATAACTCGAGTAGAGTTCTTCATCGAAATCGGAATTACAAAAAGAATACTCTTTGAAGTCGACATGATTGAGAAAAACTATTTTCGAAGTCATTGCCAGAGTGACACAAATAAAACAATCAAGCTTTTACTCTTACAAAGTCACAACTTTATTCTTGTACAACAATTACAGTAATCGTGAAAAATAGTGATTTTGTATTATTTTCTTTATTTTTAATTTCATTTTGTTCATTATACGACGTGTCGATCTATTAGATAGCCAGTTCAAGTAACGACATATCCTAATAACTAATCCAAATATATTAATTGTCCGTTCACTACATATAAATTACATACATTTTAAAATTAACATAAATGAACAAATTGAGAATGATCATCGAATAATTCGAAACGTCATATAAATTCCAAATCATTATTTTTTATTTTTTATTTTTATTTCGACTATTACACTTAAAGTTGTCATTTTATGTTGGTTTTATTAATTCTATTCTTCATATAATGAGTAATGAAAAAAAAATTCGCGAAAAAATATCCTACTTTTTAGCTGTTTAAATAATTTTGAAGAAAGGAAAATAGCAAATATTAAAGAGGTATTCATAGAAACATATGGCAACAAAAACGTAAATAAAATGGTTTAGATATCACTACACTACCATAAAAACCATTTTGAAATCTATCAGAGTCGAAGTCGAGTTCCGACGTCAAAAGGATTAATTACGCGGAATTCTAGCCAATAGTAATAATAATGAAAAAAAGACTATGACACAAAAAATGATGATCTGAACAATAAATTTAGTATATATTTCATGATATATTTGTTAAGCATGAATGATTATGATCAATCTTCACATAGTAAAGAAATGATAATTACAAGAATGATATTCAAGCTCATATGTTGGTTTTTAATCTTTCACTTCTTCCGCTATCACAATATTGAGCTTTTTGTTAGTTTTGCAACAATACTACTATCGGATGAGACCATTTCATTAATTGTTCTTCATCTCATCAACTTCACTTTCAATTCTTTGATCTTTAAGTCGTAAACAACATCGATATATATTTTTCTCGACATTGCAATTTGACCATACAATAGTAAGAACTTTTAAATATGTTCTATCTGAGTCATTGGCAAATTAGTTATAGAGATTATCAGCATGAGAATTCTACGATTTGATTTTAGGTTTTGCCCATTGTATCTTTGTTTGTTCTGCGTGTTGGTTCATGGTAATGATACGGTGATTGATCGATTACTTGTCAAAAATACTGAATGGTTTCTCGGATGTAATTCTTGATAGTTCATTTAAATGTTTGCAGGAAGCTTTTCTTCTCTTTAATCATCTTTACACATGCAATTATATTTGATGATATTTAACATAGTCAAAAACATGATGGACTCTTATGCTTTGTTATCGTTTGCCTACAAAACTTGTAGAAGTAACCTGAGATATCATGAAAAAAAACGATATTGTCAAATAGACATGTCTGTTCTTCCAACTATTTGCTTGCTTACTCATTATTTATATAAGTGAAATTTCTTCACGTTTTTTTTCTTGCATCTGTTACTAGTTGATTTTTTTCTTTCCTCTGCTTACATGAAAAGTAAAGACACGCGAATAAAGAAAAAGTATGTGAAAAAATGTGCGTATTGTGCAAAAAAAGAAAGATTTATTTTCACTTATATCCAAAACTGTGCCTTATTCATAATAAACCTATGCATGATATTGTAGATTTTTATTAAACTATGAGCAATTTTTCGGCTAAGCCGTGCCGGCATAGTCATACTAGTAATAAAGAAGAAAACGAAATTCGCAAAATATTCCATCAACATTGGGAAAAACTGAAGACTCAAATGGAAACAGATATTGAGAGAATCAATGAATGGCGTTCTCGAAGTATTCAAGAAATCAAATCGTATGCAGATGAGCAGATTCGTATTCTCAAACTTGACTACGATAATCAACGACCCATTTTTGATGAGAAACGTGATGGATATCTTGAAATAGCAAAAGTTTATCATATCTCAAAGGGAAAAGATCTATTTAATGAACTATATACTGCATGTCAATTGTTGGAATTTCAAATGGGACAACTTGAGTATGTTTTGGATCAAAAACAACGTCCTAAAGTGATAACAGTAGAAGAGTTGACAAAAGGAAAGAAGCAAGACACGACTAAGGCACAAGCAATTAAATTTGAAAACAATCAAACAAGATCAATAGATGAAAATGTTTACACAAGGGAAAGCAATGAAAACGATATTGCAAAATCATCTGCCAAGTCAATATCATCAATGCCAAATGGAACATAGTAACTTTATAGATACAAATATTTTTCTATGAAACGGACTCCAATCTTCTTTTTTTTCAGTGAAGAACTATCGATGACTTCATCCTCGAATATTAATGATAGTTCGATCGGCAGTAACAATAATTCGAAAACTGGAACCGCAGGCGGCGATGATATAAATAGTAAATGCCCTATATGTTGTATGATATTTCCATTGACTATGTCATGTCAAGATCAATATCAACATATCAATGAACATATGACAGATGATAATAATACAAGTGTCTATTGTTGATATCAATCTTCTAACAGTCTTTTTCTATTATTGAAACGATGAATGTCATATTAATGTTTGTTTGTATAATTGTTTATATTAGAATGAAAGAATACAAAATAAAGTTTCTTCGAATTATTTAAATAATTCATTTGTACACCGGCTGTGGTCTTACACACCATAGTAAAATATTTCTCTTATAAATGCGAAAATTCATTGTATGAAATGAAAATCATTTTCAAATCATTCCACTTTAGTAATCGACGGATTCATAATTTAAGTTGTCAATGACATGAATATGACTTCTATCCAGTTATGTTTTATGTTATCATCGTTCATGATTTTAAAATTCATATATCTTTCAGCCATTTGAATAAGAATCGAATTTAGAATATTGAGATTAACTATAAATACAGACTGTCTCAGTTACATGTGTATAAGCAACAGTAAATAATACTGCTGACAAGAGGAACCCAATCTCTATCCATGTACAAAACAAAATCCTATCTACGTCTCGCAAAAGTGTTTAATGTTTGCTTTCACTATTCTATTAATATGCTGTTTTTCATCTAAATGGTATTCTAAAAATCCAAGTTAACTTGAGAAACGTCACATCTTGATGTCATTGGAAGTTCTTTTTGTCTATATTTATGGACATGCAAATGAGATGTTTTATCCATTATCTAAATTACCTGTTTATGCACGTTTATTTCCGTGAAGGAGAGTACTGCTTCATGATTTGCATATAATCTTACAGATTTATTCGGTTATGATTGCTGTTTATTAGTAATATTACTTAAATTTATCAAATTCTCTCTTCCTTGTAAAACTTCCTGTAGAAGTTGTTGTTGATGGTCTCAATTCAGATGATGTTGAAATTGATCTTTCTATTACTAGATCCATTTTTTCGGTATAGTTAATACCAATGATACTGTAATCGTCTCGTCCATCGACTATTTGTTGATTTTTTTTTCTTGGAAAGTTCGTTTTGATAGGTTTTTTTCTCAATGAACAGTTTCTTTATATACAATAGTTTATGACATTATTCGACATGTTCGGAAAAAAATAGTAAAGTTATTGTTCGCCATACATCACTAAAAAGCAATCTGTTTTGCAATCACAGCAACACACGTGCATGTAAAGAAAGAAAAACTCACTGTCGTAATTTTTATTTCTGTTCTTCCAACTACCTATTTGTTTGTCGACATATTCTTCGAGTAGTTGCATGTTCTTCTTCGGTTTTTTTAAACATGCATTCGAGTAAGTTTTTTTGACAATGCGAATAAATAAGTGACGAACATTTTCATGATAGACAAATTATTTAATATAACTAGGAAACTTTTAACAATGTTCTTTGAGATTTATATGTGTAAAAAAAACAAAATTTGTAATATTTTATAGATTTTTCATTACATGACAAGCGATTTCACAGTTCCACCTCATACTGGGTTACCTCACACCAACAATTACATAGTTGAAATTAATAATATATTCGATCAACATTGGCTAACTTTGGATAAGAAACGACAAACAGAAATCGATAATATAAATCAGTGGTGCCGTAAATGGACAAAATACATTAAAAAGCATGCAGATGAACAAAAAGTTCTTCTTAATAATAATTATGATCGTCTACGACATGTTTTTGACAGAAAACATAAAGAAAATCTTGAAACAGCCAATGCTTATCATGCTGCACAACAACTAGAACTGTTTAACGAATTACGTGATGCATGCCAAGCGTTACAGTTTCAAGTAGCCAGACTTGAATATTGTAACGAGGAAATGGAATATCCAAAAGTGATCGACATAGAAGAACAAGAGGAAATAATACAATTAGAACAGACGGACACGAATATACGGGAAAATGCCAGACGTCGAAGACGACATTGTAAAGATAATGATAAGAAAACAGAACATACCAGCAGTGCTAGTGCAAGCCCATCATGTACCTCAATAACCTCATACTCAAAACAAACTAAGTGCATATAGACATTGAAACGTTATCTTCTTATAATGCTTTCAATATTTTTTTAGCAATCGACGAACATTTGAGACACAATCTAAGAGGGAGGACGATCATTTGACAAGTACTAAAGATGCTTCGATAAAACAAGTCAAGAATGATGATGATTCAAATGATAAATGTCCTATATGTTTTATGATATTTTCATCGAATATGACACGTTCTAATCGGCATCGACATGTCAATGAGCATATGATAGGTGATCACGATAATTGACTTTTGATCCGGTGCCATTTACCAGTGGATAAACTTATTTCGTCAGTGCTACGAAACAATTATGTATGTAAAGAATGAAAAATGCTCTGTCACTTTTGACCTTTACATTCTTTCTTACTGACTAAAATAAAGTGTTTCGTTTATTTTGATCAGAGCTATATATTATCTATCGTTTCATTCCTCATTAAGCGAGGATTGTTGTGATTGATGAATTCATCGCAAAAATTTTATACAAAAACAAGGTATCGAATTCAATAGCTTAGTTTTACAATAAATCTATGGATCTATTAAGACTCTTTCTTCTAAATGTTTCATGTTGGGTGTTTCGACTAAGTCTTCTTTTACTAGTTCATTGAGTTTTGAGAATATTATAAACACTCGTAGAGTTCGAGAAAGGTGAAGAAGTTTGTCCTGACAAAAATATACTCGTACGAATGAAAATATCATAAATATATATAAATGTTATTAATACATCACATGAATCTTATAAGAGTCAAACGTACTTTGAATCAAAGTATCGATTGGTAATATTGTGAATAGGGATGTTTAGTTGCAGTAAACTGTTCATCGACAGCTCACACTGACACTTACTAGGAAACCGTCGTTTAGTAAACAATGACCACACTGATATTGGTGCTCAGTAAAACACTGGTACACCGGTATTGATCTCCATTGACTGGAGTTTATATCAGAATAACTATGAAATAAACCGATTGTAAAGTACGCATTTATAGAAAATTTTAATTGGATAAGAACATAACAGTGTAACACGTAGTTTTTCAGACTTCTTTCTTGAAACTAAATCTATTCAGCGTTACATTCTGTTAGCGAATGAATTATTTTTCAATTGAGTCAAATAATCAAAGCTGTTAACACAATCCCTGTGGGATTTAAATGTGAAACACAATGTAGCTGCTGTAGCTAATCACAGGGAGATTGTTTTATTCTATCTATTTTGGAACACATTTCTTCACCATCCTTTTACTTAATCTTCCAGAAATACAATAAGTGTATAGTTCATATATTATAACAAGACATTATTGATAAACGCTCTGTACTCGTATATCAACAACGTCTGTTACGGTCTTCTATGATAACTGACTAGAAGCTATCTCGCTCTGTAGAACAAGAATATACATTGTTGTCTTTATACTTTAACACTTCTTCTAGATCGTGTTTCACAGAAAAAAATATACCACAAGATACAGCATGAAAATCTCTATATTTTACAAAGGACAGCTTATTTTATAGTTGGACTTTTTGTTTTCAAAATTTATAAAATCTCATGCAACTAATTTTTTGACGGTACGGACATGATCATTATTTTTTGGTAAACGATTAATTCGTTTTTTTATCTAGTCTGTTGAAAACTATTCGATTCACTGACAAAAATCTTTTTCATTAGAGCATGTTTATGCTGCAAGATGAACAATGTGGCATAAAACAAAAAGCTAAATATTCGAAAAGAATTATGGTGATTCAGGTGTATCTTAAAATAGTCTGACGTATTCAATTATATTTACACCTGATGAGACGTTAACACGTGGAAATTATATTCAAGTTATCCTCTCACATACGCAATGTGAAGGTAAGCAGCATCTGGATGACAATTTCATCTATCAACAAGAGAACGCCACGTCACATACAAAGAAGTAATCATCGGTATGGTGTGAAAAGAATTTTCTGCATTTTACTAACAATCATAGATGACTACCAAACAGTTCTAATCTGAATGTTTTGGATTATGCTGTGTGTAGAGCGCTATAATCAATAATATGCAACGGCATAAAGTTAAAAACTATGATTCATTAATTGATGAAAAAAAGAGAAGAAATTTATCGTGTACCAATAAGTTATCTTTTTCTGAGCATTCAAATTTGGTCGCTCAGAATTCCATCCAGTATGAACACAAAAACTACTATTATAAGATAAGCTGTCCTTTATAAAATGTAGTACTTTTCATGCAACATCTTGTGGCATATTTTTTAAAAATGTATTAAGTGATGAAAAATGAAATGCAAAACGTGGCTGTTCTTTATATCTCATCCGTTATGTTTATGGTAGAGATGTACAAAGCTGCACATAAGTGAATTTAGATTATCACTACATTTAAAAATAAATACTTAAAATCAATTTAAAATTTTATTATATGTACATTTGTACCTAGCTTTGTATCTTTCTTGAATGCTTCAGCAAAAAGAGCAGTTGGATATAATGTGTCAAAATAACAAAAGAAAATGAACTTTTAATACCAGGAGTCTTGATTGAAAGACAACATTTATGTATTAAGACTAGAACTATTAACAGAAGTGACATATATCTGTGAAGTTGTTATTGTTATTCAAAATTATAGATTGTCTAAATTTAGGTGATGTTTAACTAGAGTAGATGCCTTCATTTCACTACTTTTCCTTGATGAATATGAATAAAATCACAAAAGGTTCATACTTTGGCAGTGTTGCTAGACAGAATATGCTATATTTATTATCGTATCAGACCTACGAATAATAAAATAATTGAAAAGCCAAGTAGATTAATAAATTTTATTGAGTGCAGCAGATGAAAACAGAAATTTCAGTATATACATTTCCTTCGAGTTGTATAGTATTGACTTTGTAATGATTATAAATAGAATATTCAATAACGAACGCAAGATTGAAGAATCTTTTTCCCTAGTAGAACAGACACTTCGGTCTCTACGACCTTTAACAGTAGAGATAGACCCACTCAGGATGATTAAATTACCGTGTTTCAATATTGATAAAGATTTTTCAATGGT